AACCTGGAAATCACCAAAAAGCAGTAATCAGCAAGATCAAGTTTATTTTCTTCCCTTCCTGCTTTTTACTAAGATGGTATCTGTTTTAGATAAAGAAATGTACATTTCTTTGCACTAGTTTCATGTGCTTTTAAACGTTTCTTGTTCTCTCAGTTCCCACCCAGAACAAACACCTCTGCCATACGTGTCGGAGGGCCTGTCACAACATGGGGGAGACAGTGTGATGACGTGTGGCCTCCATGTGCTCACCGCTCATCTCCCACTACGCCCGACACGCACATTAGGCTCATTCGTGCTCTGTGCCTGCACCAGGCCTGCACTGGCAGAGCATGTGATCGCCTGCCAGGGCTCACTCCCTGCCAACGGGGACTGGAGTTTACAGTGTTTCCAGACCTGCAAGCTGCGGTGCTGAGCTTGCTGAGTGGCAACATTTCCTAAGGCTTTCCCTGTCCTATGCCTCAGGCCACGCTTTTTCAGAATAGTTTTTCCGTCTCAGTTCCCTTCTCTACTGGTCTAATTCTCATTCGAACTCCTTGATGGGAACCTGACCTGCCTGGGCTTTCTAGTCACCCGGCCTCTGTTGTGAGTCACAGTTTCCCCAGAGGGCTAAAGCCTCTGACTCCCTCGCTTCAAAGTCTGGGCAGCAGTGTGTTCACTTCTGCCAATGGCCCTGTCCTGCCAGGACCCTTCTCAGCAAGTCTGCTCCCACACTCCTGCCGGAGTGAGCACCAGATCACATTTCCGCAACCTGAGGACAGCTGGACCAGGGGTGGACACCTACCTCAACCTGGGCAACCAAGACTCCCAGCTGGCTCTTCTGGCCCCTTAAAAGGGCCTAACAGTGTAATTCCCTGTGGAGTGTGCTATTTGCTTTAGTTCTACAGCTCTACGTTCACAAGGCAGAGGATGGTAGACGAAGACTCTACCTGCCAGGGTTCACTGTACTGCACCTGCCCTCTAGTTATACTGGAAATTGTAGAACCCTGAGTTCCAGAGGGCATCAGGCTCCGTGAGGCAGTCCCTCCAGACTACCAAGACTAGTTGGGTGCAGAACTCCGTTAGCCATATGTAGTAGAAAAGGTTGAGCTTGCAAACAGGAAGAGCAGTCCACACCTGGGCGGCCCCTGAGGGCGGCTTTGAGTTTAGAACCCTGCATCTCTGCCAGTGAGGACAGTGATGTTGATCTTCACTGTGAATTCGGATTAGAGCCTCTGTCTTGTGTCTCTTTTTGAAAAGTAAAACTGGATTTAACCAAACGGTGTCCATGTCTGGCCTTCCCATCAAACTGGTTACAAACTGTTCATGAAGAGGGTGTATACAGCACTACACATGGAGGCGATGGAAACCTGGAGCTATTTCTGTGATGCTCCCTGGGGATCATGATGTAGGTCAGCTCCTCCCAGGAGGGAGGGAGGATGCTGGGGTAGGGCCAGGCGAGCACCATCTTCTCTCGGATGACACGGTGCAGAGAGCTGTGGTGGGAGTCCCGAGAGTTCTGTCATCTCCTGAGGCCCCACAGAAGAAACGCTCCTATCCCTGGACCCGAGGCAGCCTGCTCTGGGGGCGTCTGCACAGCATCCCAAGCCTCTGGTATCATGTGCAGAAAAGGAAGCGGGACTGGCTGCCCTTTGAGTGTGCAGTGAAGCCATCCAGAATCCCCGACAAAGAAACTGGTTTTTGAACTCACTGGCTTTGAAGACTCCATCTGCCACCTGCCCTGGCAAGGTCAGGGCGTGTTGGACGCAGCCCTGAGCAGGCTGCCAGGTCTCTGCAGGGAGCAGGGTTCAGTCCTGACCTGGTCCCTCAGCCCCTGGCAGTAACAGCCTCTGCCAGGGCAGCCTCCCTTTACACTACATCCCAATCCCAACTATCCTACGTTCTCTCATTCAAACACACACGCTTATGCACACACACACATGCACATGCACACACGAGAACTGGGACTTAATTATTGTTTTTTTTAAAGCAGAAATTTAAAGGAAGAGGGTATAACAGCAACTCATCCTTACAGCCAAAGAAAGGAGAAGGAACAGAAACTATACATGTGCATCTTTGTCCAGCAAAGTTGCAAATGACCCCTCCCCCAACCTCAGGTAACGGCGCGTGGGGGTGCAGGGGACAGGGATTCCTTCCCTTCCTGTGACACACATTCTGGATGACATTTCTTTGTGTCACAGTCACATGAGGACACACAGTAGTCACTCAGAGTGTGGGACACACACAATAATGACTATAACTGAGGGCTCTCCTGAGCATTTATTACGTGCAGGCCACTGTGCTTCACATATGTTAGATGGTTGAAACCTCGCTACTGCCCTGTGTGATAGGCGCTGTGGTGGCCCCTGACAGAGGAGAAAACTCAGACTCAGGAAGGTTGCAAGTGGCAGCAGGAAGGGACTTGAATCTGGGTCCACCCAACTCCACAGTGAGTGCGTCCAACCGCCCTGCCCCTAGCCTCCTCCACCCTCACGGCTGTTAGCAAAGTGCAGTGACCACTCTGAAACTGCTTTTCATCTCCTCTGGTACCAATGCCCCAATTCTGCTAGTTGCACACTTATTTTTAAAAGTATCACTTCCTCTCTCAGGATGGATCTGGAGTCCTGGGCATGTGCTTCAAAGAACAGAAGGTCACAGGACAGGGAGAGCCTCCCCCGGCCTGCCCTTTGCGGAAGGGCACAGGCATTTCATTTTTTAAGTTCTGCTGCAACAGTTGAGAAGCAACCATTGCATTAGCTGAAGTTATTTTAGCTGCTGGAACAATCGACTCCCACGGTTCAGTGGGTTAATCCTAAAAACATTCATTTCTCACTTACATAACTGTCTAACACAGATTTGCAAAAACCCATGTGTTTAGGGTTAAGGAGTATCTCCCAGTGACCAAAGTCACACGGCATCTTTTCCTTGGCAGAGAAGCTTCCAAGGGCCACTGTCCCTTTGTGTCCCATGCAGGCACTGCTGCCCAGGGCCCCTGGTGCATGCGCCACCTCGGGTCACTCCCTGGCAAGGTCATTGAGAAAGAAATGCTTGCACGCTGAATTAGGGCTCAGGGCTCAGCCCGCGGCACCCCCCTAGTCCTTATCCTTTCCTATGCCCCACATCTTGAGAAGCAGAAAGCTTTGCCACTCTTTGGCACTCCAAATTACAAAAAAGAAGTAAAGTCAGCAGTGACTTAATAAGGGTGCAGAAAGTCTACCACAACTGCCATGGCTAGTAACGGGCACAGGCAGTTTATGGAGCCCACAGGTGGACTCCTTGGAGACCTGCACCAGGAGCTGAAGAGCTGGGGTGCTGTTGGGTCAGCATTAGTGCTCCAGCTGCGTCTCAGCTGCTTCACAGAACCTGCAGGGCTCCTGTGCGGCTTAATTTTGAGTCAAAGAAAGAAAGAAAGAGTCTTGGTTTCCACAACCCAGGGGCAGAGGTGTCCTCCTGGGCCTGCAAATCAGGGTCCTAGGCTCCTCCTGAATAACCTGAAGCTTAGAATCAATGCATAAAACCTGTCCTGCTCTTCTCCCACCTTGGGGCACCATCTCCAACAAAGGAAGACTGCCCCTTTGACCCCAGGCCAGATAGGGGGCCCCTCTGCCTCTCTACACTGCGCTCCACAGACTGACCTGACTGTGCCCGGCAGAAATACCCACACAGAGTGAGGCTCTGGCACAGGGGCACCTCTCAGGCTGGCTTTGTGGGGGGCAGAGCTGTCCTCACTGGGAGGGTAAGAGAAAATTCTCTGCCTGAAACCCATGCTCCCTGGTGCTCCTGTTCCCAGGGGCTTAGTTCTCTTCGCTTACCAGGAGCAAGAGGAAAAACTGCTTCGTGGACAATCTCACCTAAGCATGACAAACACTTTCTGGCTTTGTCCTTCTGTAGCACTGGATGTGAGTGGTAATGATTATGAGTGTGCACTTCAATGAGTAGTTTACATGCCATACTATGTCTCTCTTATGGTGTGTGAGCTCTTCAGTGGAAGGAAGGGATGGCATTTGACTCTCTGAAATGTTACCAAGTGAGTGCAAATTATTTTTGAGAGGATGAGTTAGTAAATAAATAAGAGTATGTCAATGAGTAAAGAGGAATGGGGGGAGAATAAAAGAGAAGTAAATCATGGGGAGCGAGAGAATGAATGAGGGTACGAGAGGCAGTAACTGCCTCTTCTTCCTTGCAAACAAAACCCTGGCTTTTAATTGGGCACATTTCCACCTAACCAAAAAATATACACATTTCCCACATGTCCATGTGACTAAGTTCTGTGATGAAGTTAACTGTAAGTGCCAAGGCTGCATGAGACATCAAGGAGAACCCCTGGAAAAAGAATGTGTGTGCTTTGGGCCTCCTTGCTGTGGCATAGAGGATATGTGATGGCTAGAGCTTAGCAGCCATAATGTACAATGAGGAGACCTCAAAAAAAAAAAAAGGCCACACCAGGTCAGTGAAGTAGAAGTCTAGGTCTTTGCTGGTCATGGAACCACTGTAACAATCTAGACTCCTTTCTCTGGACCTTTATTATGGAAGACAGAACTAAATTTTCATCTCACTTATTGTTTTGTGGTCTGTTGTTTCTTAGATTTTTATCACATGTAATTGAATCTGATATTAACCAACTTGTCTGGAATCACGAGTTCCTGATAAAGTCAGCCCTAGCATCCAGGTCTCCTCTTCCCAAGTCTCAAGTTCTTTCTGATGCCAATCATAAGTCACTATATGATGGTCTGAAAATGTCACAATTACCCAGAACCCACAGATGCCTTTCAAATGTCAACCCAAAGCCGTAACACAGAGTCAGAGAATCCTGACCTTTTACTAAAGACGATCAAAGTGAGGGGCGGCCTCTGATCTGTGCTCAAAACCCACCAGGTGGGTGGAGATCACAGACCCAGCCTCGAATTGAATGCCATTCCTAACAGCCCAGGAAACATATGCTCACATTTTTGGTGGCTCCTCTATTTCAACAGTCAAGTATTCCTGCTTCCGAACAATGGAGTATGAGGGGGGGCGGTCCTTACCTCCACCAGGGAATGCCAGTGTGCGATGGGCTTCCGAGGATACGACAACATTTCACTCCAGTGGTCTCTGCCCAGCCTCTCAGCTTTGTTGCCTACTTGACACACGCCGATGATCTCATTGTGACCTATACTGTGAAAATGGCCCACAATAGTTTTTTCTTAAAGTTGTGGCATGTAAGAACAGTAACTACTCAATGAAGCCAATAAAGGAATTAGGGGAAGGGTGGTTCTTTTTATTCCCCAATTTAAAATCAGATGCCGGGTTTAGCAGAATAGAAATTGGGATCCAACACTGTACTCAGCGGCACAGAGAAGAGCAGAGTCTGGCCCTCACGCACCCAGGCTTTTGGAACAAGTGTCATGTGGCCTTAGCTTGTTCCCAAGAACCCCATGCCTGAAAAGCTCCCTGACATATGCTAAGGATGCTACCTCTGTCTGGTTTTGGAGCTAGGTGGACCTCCCAGCCTCCAAGTCCATGGACAGAAAGGGGGCCACCTGAAAGGAGTTTCTTGCAACAATAGCTGCTCAAGTTCCTGCAAGAGGCAACCAAATACTGAGAGGGGCAGCTCTGTGTCTGGCAGCCACAGCCTTGAACTCACAAAGTGGGCGAAGTCGACGAGGCTCCTGGGTCTTCCTACTTCCCCTCTCTTTCTTGAGCATGTTTTCTCATGCTCTATCCTCCTTCCTCCCAAACCCAGCTTTGCTTCTTAGACCCAACTTAATTCCCCTACTGTAGAAAGATCCTGAGCTCCTTTAACTTTAGGACTAATGTTTCTGAAACATTCCCTGGGTAGGGCTCTGCCTTAGCCCTTTTTTTTTTCCTTAGCAGATTTTGGTGAGAAATGCTTTGCATGACTAGAATAACACGGCCCACCCTTTAACTCTTAGGGAGCCAAACACACAGACTTTCTCTCTCCTCTTTTCTTCCTATCCATGTAGGGAGCAAGAAGGAGATGAGCTGGGGCAGTGAGGTGAAGGGCATCCGAGTCTATGCTCACTGAAATCTGTTGCGTGCAGAAGCTCTGTGAATTCTGCTGCGGGGTTTTCCAGGGCAGATTCACGTGTTCACTGAGAATTACACCAAGCAGAGCTCACATAATCGGGCTGGTCAATGCAGGAAACTTGGCAATGTCATGAAAAATGCTGGCTTAGCTTTCCATGGTTGGCGGGCGGTGTCCCCCACTGTGGCCCGACACTACTGGTGTTGTGTGCCGTCCAGTGGAGGCGAGCGGAGGGCCGAGGTCTACTGCCTGGCGAGGCCCGTCACACCCCGGGGGCAGCTCAGCACCCCCCCGCCCTTGCCGTGCCCCTGGGATGGCAGATGATTAGGCTCCACCCAGGCGTCTGCTGGGAAGAGTGTTCAGGGCACTGGAGCTGCTTTACTGACCTTTCAGGGGCACGTGGGAAAATTCTTAGCTGCAAATAGTATTTGGAAGATTACATGAGAAGTCGGAATGATTTTTTTCCCAAAATTGTGCCCAGATCACGTGGGAGGTTTCCAATTAAAAAGAGACTTTTCATTCAGTCTGATGACTGGTTTAACATATATAATTCCCTGTTGGTACTTCCTTTGCATATTAAAGTGACTGTTTTTCAAATCTGTTCTTTAAATACACAGTTGGCTACAATGCAGGCTATAAATATCTCTCCTGTGCTGTATTAATTAGAAAGTCGAGCATCTTATACATTTTAATGCACCCTGTCATCCATACTGATTCCAGCATTTTCAAGAGAACACTCCTGTGTTTGCTTTCAGATTTAAGTGGATGGAAATGATCTTTATTAAACACACTGGGAGAGGGGGAAAATAATGTAGTTATGGATTTAGAAATGTTGGTGGTCTGGCTAAAGTAATCGCTCTGCTGTTTTGAGCGGAGCCTTTCCACGAAGGCCAGGCAGGATTGCCTGAGAGGAGGTCCAGCCCTGTGGGGCTGCAGTGCTCTGGCTGAGGTTCTAGGGGGTGCGCAGGGGTGGAGAGGGGAAGGGGTGGGGGTTGGGAAGGATGGAGAAGGAGAAAAAGATGGGAAAGGGGGAGGAAGGAGAGGGAGAGCTAAGAGGCACTTTCATAACCCGGCTCCACAGCATGGTCTGGACTCTCGCCAATCAGCTTTCCTTGTGCTGCCCATTCGAGTCACTGCCTGCTTCCGGGACACCAGCTAAGTGTCTGTGACTGCACCCCCCCCCCCTTCTTGCCAGGGACACAAAGGACTTGCACTGAGAAAGAGCTCCAGGCATCTCACCGGTCGTAGTCCATGACCGCTATGGACAAGTGGGTTTGGTCAATGTTGTCGGGAGGGACATCAAAGACTATGGCTTCGTTGTAAACGGGATTCAGGGTGTTCCTCTTGGTGGACGTTTTCCTCTTCTTCAGCCGCCTGCCATCGCACATCAGGGAGACCTTCACGTAGGGATCTGCAGAGACCACGAGAAGCAGGGGTACGTGAGGACACGTGCGGATTCAGGCCGGCAGTTTCATCACTGTGGAGGGTCACGGACTGCATGCAGAACTCCTTCACCTACCTGCTGACTGCAGCTGGAGGATTTTTATTAATACGATGCCTGGGCAGTGACTAGAGTTAGAATAATTAAGTCTTTCATTCACAAAAAAGCATAGGACGCTGTCTCCTCAAAATGCATGGAATTTAAAAATAGTGTGAAAAAACACCTGTTACCCAATTAGAAACCGCTCCAGCTAGAATTCAGGCCTGCCTGGCAGTGACAGGAAAGGAAATGCAGACACTTTCAAAGTGTGGAGACACGGGCTGCAGGCCCCGGCTCTGGGCCGCTCGGGACAGTCGTCTCCTAGACGTCAGGTCTGTAGGAGAGGGAGGATTGCAGGGGTGGATTTCCTAGGTGCAGGGGCTGTAAGCCCCCAGAGCTTCCTGCAGTCAGGCTGCAAAGAGGGAAGCAGGTCAGGAAGAGCAAGGACACGGGCTTGCGTGGGGTGCTACGCGGGGATGCGGCAACAGGTGACACGGCTGGTTTCTGCTTCCGGTGGGACTTCCCTCGTTCCACCTCACTGTCCTACTGTTCAGTGGGGAGTTGTCTCTTCACCCGCATAACAGGGCGTTGCCCTGACTCCCACGCACTGCCCAGGAGGGACTTGGCCAGAAGGGGCCACCTCCTCTTTCTGCCTGGAAAACACTGCAGTACTGGCAGCAGAAGGTGATGTGTCTGATGTCCTCTGACTTCAGCAATGAGCAGCCTGTGGACTGGGTACATTAGGACATTTCAGGGGCCCCTGCAGAGGCGGCCTGTGAAGCTGTGTATCAGGAACTGCATACTGGGGCTTTTTTAGGGTGTAGAATTTAAGGTACATGTTTGATTCACTGGAAAAACCAAACTGCATAGTTCACTAATGAGTCTTTTATAAGGATACAGGATTCTTTGATCTTCAGCAAGCCTGAGACGATAATTGTTGTATCTGAGGAAAGACTCAATAGGATAAGCTGTATCATCCTATGTTAACTGCAGACCGAATTCACAATTATGGTGAAGACTTAAGAGAGAATAATAACCATGACGAGAGCTAATGATAAATAGCATTTAGTGTGCACCCGGCACGTTCTTATGGTTTGTTATGTATTAACTCATTTAATCTTTTAACAACCCAATAGAGCCAGTTACTATTGCTACCTTCATTTTACAGATGGGGAATCTGAAGCCCAGACTGGATAAGTGACTCGCCCAAGGTCACACAGCTATTAGGTCTAAGACAGGGATTAAACCCAGGTAGTTTGGTTCCAGAGTCCACGTGTGTATTACTCTACCAGAAACTTCCTAAGATACAACAACAGAACTATGTGAGAAAGTCTGAACCAGAATATCCCACCTGATGCTCCTGTTATGTCCATTGCCTTCAGATTCCTTGCTTTGATAACAGTGATGGTCAGCCTGCCAGCTGTTGGCAGGTAGCAGAGGGAAAACATCAGCTCTCCAAGATCCACGTTGTCCTGTTGAGAAAGCACAAACTGAAGCATGAGGGAGCGTCTTCAGCCTGGTGTGGGAAAGGATCAGCTGCAGGGCAGCCTCGGAAGGGTCAGCACTGCTCTCTTTGTGCAGCTTGCAAATCCCCGGGGCCTCTCACCTTCATACCTGCACTTTGGGAACACCTTGCCCCAAGGAAGCCCAGCCCATCTTCAGATGCAAAGCTATGGCAACCACCCAGGGCCTCTGCTGCCTTCTACCCAGCCACATGCAGCCCTGCACAGCCTCACCCAAGTCCCCGTGGTCCAGCATGTAGTCCCCAGAGCAGTAGCCCCCACAGCATTAACTGTTCTGCGTGGAGTCCCCCATGTGGGTCCATTTGTGTTCCCGTCACCACCCACACAGAGCCCGCAGGGCAGAGCTACGCCGCTGCAGTACTGTGCGGCCCCAATCACGGCCCTGTGCACACGTGTGCTCTGCACACAGCCCCGTGCAGCCTCTCGCACAGGTCCCCACCCAGCTCCCGGGGACTGTCCCACTCCTGTTTCCTACGTGGCCTCCCCCAGTTTTTCCCAAAGGCTTCACATAGGCCCACGAAGTCCTCCAAATAGCCACTGTCCATATGCACCCTTGCCCCACACACTCTGCTACACAGAACACCCCAAGTTTGCCACCATACCCCTGTAAACTCCTCCAAACACCCCCACACCCCAACACACACAAAAATCCTCCAGCCACCAGAGCACTGCACACAACCTGGTTGCACAATCTGTGCAGACCAGCGCTTGGCTCCACTGCACCCTGGAAACATCTAGTCCCTACGTGGCCTTGAACGAGGACCCTCAGAAGCCTGGCAGTGTCACCCAGTAACCCCGCACAGCACAGCCCCGGACACACGGGCTTCAGATAGCCCTGAGCAGTCTCCATGCAGGGAGCGATGGCTCAGGCCTGGGACCCAGACCCCACAGGCCCCTACGGCTGGCCCCGGGGACTCCCACTTCGCTGCAGGGCTTGGTGTGTCTCCAAGGAGCCCCCATTTCCCTCTGTGGGGGAAGACGTCTCCTCCGGCAGTACACAACCATTCAAATAAGTCAGAAAACATGCTGACATGCTTCTCTTTCTCATTTTTAGTCCAGGGAGAGTATAACCAGAAAGGAAAATAAAGAAGCCTGTTCATTTAGCTTCAATTTCTGTGATACCTGAGGTTACCATGCTGGGTGCATGTGTCTAATTAAAACAGTTTCATACTGACAAAGCTCTGGGGAGTTCGGTCTTCGCCCTCAACATCCACAGCCACCCCTCCCCTTCTCAATTCTCCAAGGATGCTTCTATTTTTAGAAGCACAGAATCAGCTCTGGAAGGTCACCTCGCCCAACCTCTCAGCCTTGACTGCTTCTGCTGGGGGATGAGGTGCTGGGAATCTGTTTGGTGGCTAAGGCAGATGGGATTACTCTGTATCTTCATGCATTGCTGGCCTCATGTAAATAAATGACCACACATCGAAAGCCAGGCTCTCCTAGACCCCTGACCTCAGGAGTTGCAGGTGGCGGGGCCTGGCCCTCTGGTGTGGAGGTGAGGAGGAAGGATGAGAATTCTGCAGGAGTGAGGATGTCACACGGGCAGGCGCTGGCCTGCTTGTGTGCTACTGGGTTCTGCACTGCAGGGGGAGCATCTGACCCAGCTTCCTGCTGGTGGCACAGGAGAAAGAGAAGCAACGGTTGTCCCCACAAATTGTCTTTTTCCTTCCTTACCCCCTGGCCTATTCCTTTGCTCTCTGTCTGCCTTAAGTAGAAGGGTCCAGACACCGCTCTCCCCGCAGTGTGCCTCAAAGCATCTAGCCCACTCCTGTCCTCTCCTCCTGCCTAGAAAACCTAGGTTACACAAAGTGGAACGGGAGTGACCAGAATCATGCCTATGGAGCTTCATGGCCACTGGCCTTCTCAGCACACAATCCCCAAGGGCCCACAGGGCAGAGGTCTGCAGGGTCACGATACGGCACCTCAGGCCACTGCACGGCACGGAACGGGGTATGCCCGGTTACTTTTGTGCTAAGCACATTTCTATCCAACGTAGACCCCATTAACGAATATTTATATTATATGACTGTTTGCTCATGAGTTAAAAGAATCAGAGCTTCAGACTTGGTGATACTTTGGAAGGAGAACTAGGGCTAACATCCACATTTGTACTTGAAAAAAATCTGGCAAGTTAAAGAAATAGGCATCAAAGAGAAAATGCTTGCTTTGATTTCCAAGTGCTTTAAAAATAAATCATTAACATTTTTCTATGTTGGGAGAGTAAAACTGATAAAATTCAAATGCAGAAATTTTTAAGTAAAAAGTAAAATATTCCCTTTTTTATGTATATACCACCTATATTGCTCATTTCTGCAGAGTAACACTATAATCATCCATATTTTTCTTTACATACAGGCATATATCCACCCACCCACCCATTCACCCATCTGTCCATACATACACACATACATGAATCCATCCATCCATCCATCCACCCACTCACTAACTGTGTTAACATTTGCAGTGGTTGTTGAGCATCACTTTTTGTCAGGTATTCGGAGCTGTACCTACAGTGGAGAACAGACACGGTCCCTTGATGAGAGACAGACTTGCTAAGAGAGGGAACAGGGGTTGATGGCACCTACCGCTACCTCTGCTTTCTCCCCGTCCGCTGATGCTAACTTGAGGTCAAGAAGCTATAGATTCTGATGTTTGTAAACATTCCATTAAACCGGTGGTTCTCAACCAGGAGCAATTTTGCTTCCTCAGGGGACATTTGTTATAGCTGGAGAAATATCTAATTGTCAAAACTGGGGACATGAGTGTCTTGCTGACATCTAGTGGGTTGAGTCCAGGGACATTATACATACCGAAGTGCCCATATTATTAGTAAAAAATTTTCCAGAATGCTGATAAAAGTCAAACATAAGAAAGTAAGTGGAGCATTTGATTTCTTTTCAGCTTGCCAGGAACCAAACAGCAGACATGTCACTGGTGGCTGCGTGCCCTGGGGGGCGGCGGGGGCGGGAGACAAAGGGAGAGATACGTCATTCAGAGCAATGCTTCATTTGCTCTTGCTTTGTGTGGCCAAGTTCAGTATCGATGACAAGATGTATAGGGAATTCATAGCAACTGTGTATGAATTCTCCACCTGCCAATCTGTAAATACTTTTGGTGATATGCTTGCCTGTAATGGTCTGTGATAGCTCAATTTTTTGCCTAACCTGGACACTTTTGCATTCCTCTTGCTGGATTTTTCTGGTGAGCTCTTTCTCAATTCCATAAAGTTCTAAGAGGGCTGCCACAGGAATCCAGGCTCACCAAAATATTCATGGCACAATCTACTACTGTCTGTTCAGGGTGAGTTATGTGGCCTGAGCAGGGTCACTTAGCGTGCTCTGAGACTAGAAAATCAATACTGAGAAATTCTCATTCCACTGGGGTATTCACTAGGAGGGGGTGAAACCAGGACTGTTGTAAGGTTCTTGTAATATATAGTAAAAATGATACAATATAACTTTAAGTTAGGTTGTGCATGTTAAAGATGTATACTACGAACCCAGAAGAAATTACTAAAATACAAGGATTTATAGCTAATAAGCTAAAAAAGGAGATAAAATGAATGCTTTAAAATATTAAATTAATCCAAAAGAAGAAGAAAGAAGGGAAAGGCATAAGATCAGAAGAGATAATTCCGAAATAAAAAAAAGTACAGAGGACTTCCACCAAGATGGAGACGTAGGTGGAAGCACTTCGCCTTCTCACACAACCAAGTTTAAAAACAACAAAGTTCTAGCAACAAAAACACAGCCAAACCACAGAAAATTGAACTACGCGGAAGTCTGACAACAACAAACCCTTCAGCCAAACCAGTAAGAGAGGCAGAGCCAGCAGCAGAGTGGGGTCAGGCAGGAAAGATCCACCAGACCGACCCAGGTGCCTGACCCAGGTGTGCCAGCAGCCGTGGGCGGATCCCAGGTGTGGAGAAGCAGGCGGACCTACTGAGGGTGCAGGGCGTTGGACCCACTGAGAGTGGATCTCGGTCATGCATTCATACACAGATAAACCAGTGAAGGAACTAGCGATGGTGAGATGGACTGTGCAGGCCCCAGCGGCGGGAAGAGGCAGAGGGGACTGTCTTTGTCCCTCTCTGACCCCGCCCCCACATACAGCATCACAAACCAGTGACCTGGGTGGCCCCACCCTGGTGAACACCTAAGGCTCCGCTCCTCATACGTAACAGGCAAGTAACAGGCACGAACAGATCAAAACATGGCTCAAGAACAACTCAGAGCCCCAGAGCCAATAAATCTAAGCAATGAAGAAATAGCCAAACTTTCAGAGCACACAGTTCAAAACACTGGTGATCAGGATGCTCACAGAACTGGTTGATTTTAGTCACAAATTAGAGGAACATATGAAAGCTAAACTAATTGAAATGAAGGGAAATGCACAGGAAACCAATAATAATGGAAAGGAAACTGGGACTCAAATCAAGGGAGCAGACCGGAAGGAAGGAAAAAATGACCAAACAGAAAAGGATGAAGAAAAATGAATTCAAAAAAATGAGGAGAGGCTTAGGAACCTTCAGGACATCTTTAAACACTCCAACATCCTAATTATACAGGGTACCAGAAGGGGAAGAGGAGCAGCCATGAATGGATAACTTATTTGAACTAATAATAAAGGACAACTTCCCCAATATGGCAAAGGAAATAGACTTCCAGGAAATCCAGGAAGCTCAGAGAGTCCCAAAGAAGTTGGACCCAAGAAGGAACACACCAAGGCACATCATCGTTACATTAGCCAAGATTAAAATGAAGGAGAGAGTCCTAGAAGCAGCAAGAGCTAAGGGGACAGTCACCTACAAAGGACTTCCCATCAGACTGTCAGCTGATTTCTCAGAAGAAACCTTCCAGGCAAGAAGGGGCTGGAAAGAAGTATTCCAAGTCATGAAATCCAAAGACCTACACCCAAGATTGCTCTATTCAGCAAAGCTTTCATTTAGA